CTCTTTTTGCCTCTAGTCTCTCTCTCCCTCTCTCTATGGTTGTTCTTTTTGCTCTTCCTCTCTCTATGCTTTCTATGTTTTTTCTTTTTGCTCCTAATCTCTCTCTCTCTGTCTATCTCTCTGTCCTTGCTCCTTTTACCCCTAGTTTCTCTCTCTCTCACTCTTCTTGCTTTTTTTGCCCCTATTCTCTTTTTCTCTCTCTCTTCCTCTCTCTATGATTGTTCTTTTGCCCCTAATCTCTCTCTGTGTGTCTGTCTCTCTGTCCTTGCTCTTTTTGCCCCTAGTTTCTCTCTCTCTTTCTCTCTCTGTTTCTCTCTCTCTCACTCCCTCTTCTTGCCCTTTTTGCCCCAATCTCTCTTTCTCTCTCTCTCTTACTCTCTCCTTACTAGTCTTTCTCTCTCTCTGTCCCTTCTTACTCTTTTTGCCCCAGTCTCTCTCTCTCTCTCTCTTTCTCTGTTTTTCTCCTTACTCTTTTTGCCCCTAGTCTCTCTCTCTTCCTCTCTCTATGGTTGTTCTTTTTGCTCCTCTTCTCTCTCTCTCTCTCTCCATTCTCCTTCAGCCCTGTTTTTTTTTTTTTTTTTTTTTTGGCTCTAATCACTCACACAGAGAGTCCATTCTGAGCTGCTCACTGTCTGGCGTCTGCTCCTCTCTTCTTCTTTTTCTCTCTTTCTCTATCTCACCCACTCTTCTGTACACCTCCTCTCTTTCTCTCTCTCTCTCTTTTCTTTCTCTGTCTTGTACCTCTTCAGTCTCCTTCTCTCTTTGAACCTAACCCCCTTGCTCCCTCACCTCTTTCTCTCTCTATTTTCCAATCTCTCGCTGAAAGAGATCGGAAAACGCACATCGTCATGGCGACTGTTTGAATCCGATTGGTCTTCCCTGCCCACAAATACAAAAAATGTCTTCCCTTCTCCACAAATATTGCGAAAATCCATCTTCAGGTGTTATCTCGTCCCAAAGCCATTCCACAGAAGAGACAGGGCGGCAGCTTTACCTCCACCGGCTCCTCTCATTACGCTCTCAGGGTTTGGTTTAGTTTAGTGGTAGTTTATTTGGTCATTTTGCAGCTCTACAAAACCAAACATAGACTGCAACTCCACCGATCATGACAAAAAGGGTTTAGGCTGTAAAGTAAAAAGTATTTATAACGCCAAACCCTATTAAACAGTTACAGAAAGAAAAGCAGCTTATGAAGAGCAAGTTTGCATTTTCAGATTTGCAAAGGGACCGTGGGGACATGACACAACCCGTATATATTTGGGGAAGACAAAATAGTCCTTACCAATATTTGCCATTTTATTTTAATAAACAAAATATACATTTAATCCGATATTTTTCCAAACTCAATAGTATTAAATGAACACGTTTTACTTCACATTTTTTATTAGACGTTCTGATGGCAGTTAAGACCTGTTTACATGACAATGCTTGCGGGTAAAAATGACAAAATAATAAAAAATAATAATCGGAAATGCCTTTCGTTTAGACCATGGGTGTCAAACATAAGGCCCAGGGGCCAGATCCGGCCCTCCAAGACCTTTTAATCTGGCCCTCGGCAGATTTTCTACTAAAATATTTTAATTATATTTTCTTTTAAAATATTGGTAATTTTCTGCGTCTCTTAGCATAGCAGCGTCTCCAGTGCCTCTGTACGTGGCCCCTCCCACCAGAGCAGCACAAATGAAGACTTGTCTCTTTCCAAACGCTCTTAAAGGACGATCGTTTTGACTGTTGACCGTGACACCCTCATCAGAAAAATGTCCAACATGAGAAAAGTGGAGCCGAGTGCAGGATTTTCCAAGAAAAATTGACTTATTCCTATTTACATACAAGTTCATTGTGTTGAAATTGCATTTTTCTTAAAGTTTCAGGTTGTTCATAATATTATAATATTTTGTAAAAGAGTGTGAGTTCATCAGTTAAAAAAGATTTCTGTAATAGATTTGAGTTTCTTTGCACAAATATTTGAACTTATTGTTATTTTTGGGGTTTATATGACATGAGGGTTTTTTTTTCTGGCCCCTTTGGGATCTGAAGTAGGTTGGATACGATCCCCTGGACCAAAATGAGTTTGACACCCCTGGTTTAGATGGTGACGGCATTTTTGGGGCTTAAAAATGCAAAAATCTGAAATCACCCTCCAGAGTCTGGTCACATCTGCTCACGTCACGTACACGTTTACGTCAGGCCTGGCTTGCATACACAATCCAGTTCCACACACTTTTGCATCACCTTATGTACGCAGATTTCCTCCCGAAAACGCTCGTCTAAAGGCAGAATAAAAAGTGAAGATGCGACGCCACTTTTGCGTCTTGTGTTCAGACCGTCATCATATAAACGTCACCTCAGTGGAGCCAGGAGCCTAAACTGGGGAAGCGACAGGACAGTTCAGCACCCGAGATGAGCAGGTGTAAGTGAAGACGCTGCACCAAACTTTGAAAAACTTTTCAAAAGGAACTTACTTGGCTTCATCTTCAATTAAACTTGTCTTATAATGAGTCGCTGCTGAAAAAGACCGACTATCACCACAAGTGCACCTCCTTAAGCGCAGATCTACTCGTGCGCTGTGAGACTCTACTGACAATATTCCAATATTCAAAATGTGCTGACATGACCTCACAAATATCTCATCACCAACAAGCAAAGGGAAATCTGCTGCAAACTTCTACATCACTGTTATCCACTAAAAAATCATCTTAGAAGGACAATGGACACAAACTGTACATTTTATGAACTGAAAAATGAAACCACCTCTCACTTGTTTTGGACCTGCCCAGACTATGTGTGATTTTGGAAAGAATTCATAAAACATACAGTAGGGGGAGGGGTGTTAGCTGATAATGTCCCCACCACAGCTGAGACCAAACCTACGCCTTTATGTACAATTTCACTTATGTCTTACTGTAAATATAAGAGACAAAATATGAATTAAAACAAACTAAACTGAATGCATAATTATGGATCTTTCAAAACAAAATGCTTTATACTCTTCTGGCTTCTGCAGTGTTAGACAATTTCTAATTTTTTTTTTAAATCAGCACTCAGGTTGTTCCATATACCAACCCGTCGAACAGAAATACAACTTTTACACTTTTTTCGTAGTTCTTATTAATTTTTTGTTTTACGTTTATGATTGTACAAACTACTAATTATGTTAACGAAGGCACAAAAGTTTGTCGTTTATGGTTATACAAAATAAACCACAGTGAGAATGAAAAATGTAAGGATTTTTTTTTTTTTCCTTTTTGTTGTTTATGGTCTTACAAACTAATAATAACTAACGAAAGCACAAAAGTTTTGCGTTTATGATCGTACAAAAGCAAACCACGATGAGAATGAAAAAATTGAAAGTTTTTTTTTTGTTTTGTTTATGATCGTACAAACTAATAATAATATTAAAGAAGGCACAAAAGTTTATCGTTTATGATCGTACAAAATAAACGACAATGAAAATGAAAAAAATGTAAGGTTGTTATTATTTTTTTCTTTCGTTTATGGTCATGCAAACTAATAATCGCCTACCCCACTCCTACTACTATTACTACTACTCATGTACGTAAGGGTGGCACTATGGAGAAAAAAAGAATACCTTTCTATTCCTGATGATATATTCCAGTTCCGTGTGGAGTTTACTTGGTCTCTCTGTGTCTGGGTGGGTTTCCTCTGGCCACTCTGAAGCAAAAACATACACAAAAGGTCAAATCCTCCAGCAGACGTAGTCCTGACCAAGACTGTCTCAAGATCTGGCGCTGGCATGAGAAAGTGAGTGAAGAAAATGCAATAAAAAGGAGAGTGGAGAGGTAGAGAAAGACAGGAGTGAGGGAGGCAGAGTGAAAGAGGAGAGACAATAATAATACACCATAAATGTACAGACAGCATAAGGACTTTTACGAGCGAGAAGACGATTGGAGTCTGTACCAGCGCCTGGACGTTTAACACTCTATAATTCTGCTTTACAAGTCCACTCATCATTTCTAATCCCGCGTTTGTGCTCCTCAGATGAAATCCAGCGAACGTCTCGTCTGTAATCTGTAATCCCATGTTTTATCTCATCTCATATTTCTCACATTTATAATTCATAATCCGGGATCTGTTTTATAAAAGGATTAAGTGTTAAACACGGCTCAGCGTCTGATTTTAGTGAAGTATAAACGATCAGAGAAAAGACTTAACGGGCTCATATTACACTCTTTTCTGATGTTGTAATGTTGTTTCCTTATCACAAGCTTGTACGGAAGCCAGGAGGGCTCATAACAAATGCAAACGCTGCAACAAATGCAAACGTGATGCCACAACACAAATACAAATGCCACAAACGCCACAAACACAAATACAAATGCCACAACACAAATACAAACACAAATCACAAACAAATGCCACAACACAAATACAAATGCCACAACACAAATGCCACAACACAAATACAAACGCTGCAACACATCAAAAAGCCACAACTGAAGTGACCGCGGGACTCTATTTTTCAACAGACCAAGCGACGGTCAGTGACATCAATCCTGGACACAAAACAATAAATTACTTTCACTTATGTGTCCAAATTTGTTCACTTCTCCATTCCTTTACTTTTCACATTCTTGTTCTTCTTCAACTTTTCCCATTCACTTCCCGCTTGATCTTTTAACCCTTTGCTTGGTTCGTCAGAAAATAGAGTCCTGCGGTCACTTCTGTTGTGGCTTTTTTTGGTTTGTTGTTGCGTTTGTATTTGTTGCGGCGTTTGTGTTTGCTATGAGTCCTCCTGGCTTCCGTGCAAGCTTGATCTGGAATTGTGTTTTGTTTCATTTTTGTTTCACGCACAAACTTTGCATATTTAGCCTGAGATCTTCTCTCTTTCCTCTTGTGATGTCATGTGGTCATACAGGAGTGAAAAAGAAAGATAGAACGAGAGAGAAAGTTTGATTTTGATTTCTCCCCAGCTCGTTTTTGATCCTGTCCCGTCAGCAGGACTGTGTCTCTAACGTACCTGTGTGTGTTTTCTGTTTCAGCGTGTCCCCCCGGCTCGTACAAGATGTCCTCCCGTCAGCAGGAGTGTTTTCCGTGCCCTGAGAACAGCGTCGCAGAAGAGGACGGCTCCATTGTGTGTGTGTGTAAAGAGGACCACTTCAGAACGCCCCTGGACACGCCCTCCGCCCCCTGCACCCGTAAGAACCAAACACACTCTCTTTCAACTCTGTACAAGGAGTAAGTAGAAGAAATGCAAAGACGAAACGTTGTGAATCCTTGTGTCATTCGTTCATTCGTTTTTCAGTATAAAACCAAAAATAAGAAAATGGAAAAACAAACTGTTTTCTTCATTATTTGTCTCCAAAACCAAAATGAAAAAAAGGGATAACGATTCATTTTTTGTTTTGTTTTGTTTTATTTAAATGAATAATGGAAAAAACTGATAATGTCCCGTTTCCATGACTTAAACTGTGATGCTGGACTTTTGCGCCACATACGGACTGAACCAGGACCACTGGAACCAGATCGGGACTGAGTCCAGGACTTAGACCAGGACCAGACCAGAACTAGGCCCGGTGCTGAGATCGGGACTGAGGCAAGGACTGAGACCAGGAACAGGACCAGGACTGAGACCAGGACTGAGACCAGGACTGAGGCCAGGACCAGACTGTGATTGAGACCAGGACCAGACTGGGACCAGACCAGGACCAGACCAGGACCAGACCAGGACTGAGACCAGGACTGAGACTGGGACCAGACCAGGACTGAGAACAGTTTAGTCCTGTTTTAGTTCTGTTTTAGTCCTGGTCCAGTCCTGGTTCAGTCTGGCATCGCAGTTTAAGTCACAGAAACGGGAAAGTGTTGTTTTCTGTTTTTTCCATTATACATTTAAACACAAAATTTAAAACTGAAAAAAACAAATTGTTATCCCTTTTTCACTTTGGTTTTGGAGACAAATAGTGAAGAAAATATTTTATTTATTTATTTATTTTTTTTATTATTATTTCTTATTTTTGGTTTTATTTTGAAAAACGAATGAACGAATGATACACGGATTGTTGTGGTCAGACATCCTTGTCAAAGCCTGATCTGGGAATAAATGAATAAAATGGGAATAAATGATAAATGGTCACACATTTACACTCACTCAAAACACTTAACATCAAGGAACCACTCACCCAGTCTCCCCAGTGGACACAGACACTGTGGTGAGGTGGGCTAATTCCAGGGACACAATGACATTATTCATCTGTGGGAGCTGGAATTGCACCTCTAACCCCTGGATCTGACCTCTCAACCAGTGATGTTTATGTTGAGAGTGGAATTCAAACCACCAACCTCTGGATGAGTGCACTACAATATATTACAATAACAAAGAGTAAAAAATACATGTCAAAAATTGTATAAAAACTTCTAAATAAAAAAAGCAGTAAATAAAAGCAAGAGACTGGTGTCAATAAGACATAAATGGTATAAATGTATGTAGAGTAAGTATCCAGAACATGCTACAGGTCTGCAGGAAGAATAGGAAGAACAGTTGATAGCTGAGGTCAATTAAATCTAATCAATCAATGAACCTGCCCAGGGACGACAGGTGGAAATGAGCGCTGCTGCTACAACCTGATGTACAAACATCTCTCCTGTTAAGGTTCATGTAGATTGTGCACTGTCCCTGTCTCATTACATAAATAAACTGTAATATAAGTAAAATGCAAATCCCATAACTCCCAGGTGCTGCAGTGCTCTAGTAGTAAGTGTCAGGCACATGGATGCATTGTGTGTTTGAAATGTAGTGCCGGTCAGAGGGTCTGTGGTGTGGATTGACAGTCTCACTTCTGTCAGTCAGCCTCAGGGCAGCTGTGGCTACAATAGTAACTTACCTCAGAGTGTGGAGTGAATGAATAATGCTGTAAAGTGCTCTGGGTGTCTTGAAACTTGCTGAATAAATCCAGTGCATTATTACATCAGGTGCGTCTGGCAGTACAGTCACTGAACCTGAGAGACTCTGATCTGTCATAGACTGAGAACATGAGAGCAGACCTGGGCACTGTCCAGCTCCGGGCCACACACGGCTCTTTGGGGGACTCTGAACGGCTCATTTAAGTTAATCTGACGTTTCAAAATAAACATATTTTATCGTTTTGCCTCATACATGGACTAAAGCTGCATTGCTTTTATTTTAGAGGTGTATTTTAGAAAGTTTTTTTATAAAGGCAGTAGAGCCCTCCACTTACAAACCTGCTGGATCCGATGCAAAACAATGTGGTGAGGGACACATTTTGAAAGCTCCTTGCAGGTGCGGGTCGGAGCAGGACTGCACAATGCGGGAGCGGGCGGGTGGGATGATAAACTACTAAATATGAGTGTAAAGTAAAATATGATGGTTAATGTTTGCCCATCATGTTGGATATTTTATTTAGCATTAATAAAAACATTTTCAGCAGCCTAAATTTGCGGACATGGTCTAATCTTGCACATATTTTGGACAGTTCCTTTCTGCTTCTCCGTGTTTGATAGAATTTAAGAAAGCGATCACCATCTTGCAGGATGTGCAGGCGGGAGCAGGACAAAATATCGCAGATGCAGGCAGAAGCGGGAATGAAAATTAACATTTTTTGTGTGTGCAGGCAGGACCAGGACTGATAATTCTGTCCCTGCAGACTTCTATAAGGCAGCCTCACTTTTTCATTGCTTAGTCATAACATAAACTCTGTCCAGTCGGAAAAACTCGACAAAACAATGATATTTACTGCTGTTTATAAAGAAATACAATTCATATGATGCAGAATTGAGTTAAGCATTTTGGCCTCCACAATTGTTACGTCAAAAAAAAAAAAAGATGTTCAAGGTTTAACTAAAAATTTTACATTTATTATTTACAGGGTAGGAAAGGGTAAAAAAGCACAGAAATTTGGGGAGAAAATAAAAAGGATTTAAACAAAATAATCTACTAAACTAAGGAGCCCTAACGAAGTACAACGCAACAAAATCTAACTAAAGTTGTACTGTGAAAACAAGATGTTTCAACGAAATCAACAGAGGCAACACCCGGCACTGTAACGAAACACAAAATGAGACAACCAAAAATCAACCAAACAAAAGGGCGAGCTGGCTACAGGGATCCAGCCGCCCCGAGCAGGCGGAAGACTGTTCTTTTACACCTCACGCTCCCACAAGTGGCATCTGCGGGTTGGTGGGGACGGAAGGGTGACGTGATCCAACGTCCAGCTTCCGTCCGGTGTCTGGTGCTCCTGTGCCTCCTGGTCCAGGGCTCCAGGCCGATCACATAACACACACAAAAGCAAATCGAGAAGAACAGGAGCTAAACAAATACCAAAGGGCCGGGGCTCGTAACAACTATATTTTCAGTTTTTCTTGTGGCCCCATGGAAAAAATAATTGCCCACCCCTGAATCAGATCATAGAGCCCATTTGGGTTTAGGACTATGTTTACATCATTTGGAGATATTTTTACTTTGCTTGGAATGTTCCACAATCAGTGTTGGGGAGTAACAGATTACATGTACTGGAGTTATGTAATCAGAGTACAAATTATGAGTAACTGTATTCAGTTACAGTTACTGTTTCAATGAGTGGTAATTAGATTACAGTTACTTTGTTGAAATTAATGGATTACATGGCGGTATTTTTACTGTTTTTCACTTTTTGGACTAAACCAGGACTAAACCAGGAACCAAAACAGGACTAAAACCAGGACTAAAACCAGGACTAAACCAGGACTAAAACCAGGACTAAACCAGGACTAAAACCAGGACTAAACCAAGGACTAAAACCAGGACTAAACCAGGACTAAAACCAAGACTAAAACCAGGACTAAACCAGGACTAAACCAGGACTAAAACCAAGACTAAACCAGGACTAAATTCAGGACTAAACCAGGACTAAAACCAGGACTAAACGAGGACTTAACCAGGACTAAAACCAGGACTTAAACCAGGACTAAACCAGGACTAAACCAGGACTAAAACCAGGACTAAAACCAGGACTTTAACCAGGTCTAAACAATATGACACTAACAGTAGGTGGACATCATTTAAAGCAGCAGTGACCTCGTATAGAAAACATTTCTCTATCAGTATTTTTAAAACGGTTAAGGAAAGACTGGACTTGTTGTGTCTTTTAACAGACAAAACATCTTATGTTAAGATCTTCGTCTTTGCTTCTCTACAACAAACAAAAGTCTGTTCATGGAGACTTGGGCTCAACAGACATTTTGAAGAAAACAAACATGAATTTTCAGGATGTGGTTGGTACATTCATGTCGTTTTAAAAAACATGACAATATCAAGTAATCCAAAGTATTCAGATTACATTACTCACCTTCAGTAACTTAATGGATTACGTTACAAACTACATTTTGGTGTGTGTAATCTGTAATCTGTAGGGGAATACATTTGAAAAGTAACCTTCCCAACACTGTCCACAATATGACATTACACTTAAATGTCTTGTATTACTTGATAAACGTGGATTCTTATTGTTGACGGACTTAACTTCTCCACAGAACAGTTTCATATTATTAATGCCATACTACGGAAAACAATAACATCACCGTGGAAACAAGCAGGTGCCAGACCCACCACCTTTCATTTTCCGTCCATGTCCTTTGTAAATGACATCACCCGTCCTTCACCCTGGCCTCTTCCACACGTCAGTCCGACCTCGGCGCCCCCTGTAGGTCTGTTGTTCACGTGCATCGCCTCATGTGTCTCCATTAACCCCGATCAGATCCTCACACCCTCCGATCGTCCTGTGTGAGGCCTCTGCAGCGTTCACCTCTCGTTCACCTACAGGACATTTACAGGTCACAGGTCAGTCGGGTATTATCACGTCTTTATTGCCCTGTCAGACTTCCATTTAAAAACACTCTGTCTAATGCCATACACTGGAACATTACATTATTTATGAAGATCCTCATTTAGACTTGGTTTGGTCCTCTTCTAATCCTGGTTTAGTCCTACATGTTAATCCCAATTGTGTGCCAAATGTGAAATGAAATGCTATTTAAAGAGTAAAAAGTAACTCGTATTGTATTGTTTTTGTATCATGTTTGTGTGTATTTATGGAGAAGTGTCGTGTTGGATCATGGGTAATGTTGGCTTGTGGACGGAGCGTTGTACAGAAACTTACAGCTAAACGTAAGGAGGGTTTGAATAGAGTCTGGAAGAGATCACTAA